TTACCTTCGTATCCCACTGACAAAGATCTCCATTTTCATGTCCTGTGATTATATACTGGTCTAGTGGTCCCCAGAGAGCAGCAGATACTTTTGGTCCCTCAATTGGAATATTCAGATAAGGCTCTTTTGATCCTTCAGACAAAAAGTACACGTACCCTAGTTATACTTTCAAGTACAGTTGTACACTGTACATGTGCTTATAACATGTATACTGCTACCACTAAGGTAAATGGTAAGAAACAGAGTAATGGTCCTGATATTTTTGGTAATGAGTACACCTTTGTGCAAATTTACGAAGTTTGCCAGGTATCTCCATACAATAATAAAAGTCACAACTAGTCGTACATTGGTTGGATTTCATGAAACAATACAGTGCATAAGCTACATGTATGTGAGCAGCTTACCAATGATGCCACCAAAGGGAGGCAAAGTTCCCCAAATGAGAAAAAATTAATGAGGTCATGTTACAACATAATATTGTGCAATAAGCACCTATAAAAACTTAAATTTATCCAAAATTTAACCACTGTTTTCTTTAGTTTTCAAGGCAATGCTACACATTATTAGTTGGTTTCTTGCCGGACATGTTGTCAATAAGTTACATGTATGCCAAAAATTGCTACTTCAACGATTCTCACGCCATGCGATTCTTGTCGCTCAGGAAATGAAAAGTGACTGGTAACTTACTTTTGAGCGGTACTGTACATTATCTAAATTATAGTTGCATTGTACAACTAATGACTAAACAGGACTTACCCTGCTGTACAAGATTAGCATGCTCACCTTCTCTGACATCGTATAACATGAGAATGCATTCATGGCCCATCTGTCTGTCAGTTGTCATCATTATTTGTTTACCACAAAAAGAGAAGCCGCATGCCCTAACAGCGGTTTTTGTTTCATATTTGGATAACGTTGTGGCTGTTTCACAATCCCAGAATCTTAAGCTGTTATCAGCTGACCCTGAAATGAAATGCTTTGTTTCCCCTGAGGACAGGATGTCACAAGTTAAGGAAGTACAGCCATATTCATCACAGGGTCCAGAGGAGATGTGTTTGTCGTAAGAACATCAAAACCCGTTGAAAACCTCTGAAAAAATGGGTCATTTTGATCGCGTTACAGTTTCGTTACACATTCTATAGACCACAAACCAAGAGACTGAGGGCTCGCAAGATCGGCTTACACTCGGCACTTTGTGCCTTGGTCGCCCTTCGGGCGACGTTCCGTGCTCCAGCGAGGATATGGCTTGCGGTTATTCATTTTCAAAATGGCGAACAACAAAGTTGATCTGGTCAGATAAGAAGCGAAGAAATCGTTTACAGTAGATTCATTAAGATCCCATTGGGCTAATTAATCATGCTAAGCGACAGGTATAGACATTTTGCAAGGTGAGACTTAAAATAAGTAATTCATTTATTCACATGTCAGATAAGAAGCGAAGAAATCGTTTACAGTAGATTCATTAAGATCCCATTGGGCTAATTAATCATGCTAAGCGACAGGTATAGACATTTTGCAAGGTGAGACTTAAAATAAGTAATTCATTTATTCACATGAAACTCCTCTAGACCCTGTGTGTTTATGTGTTGTTGCAAAATTCACTTAATTTATTAACAAAGTTATGACTAATCGATAGACCTGAGTACATGGGTCACATGTACACCTCTTTAAACCCCAATGAAAAACAACTAGAATATACCTCAGAAACAAACTCCTGGTCAACTAATTAATGATACGAATCTCTCTGATTGTTTTATTTCACACTTCCTAACTGTACAATCAAAGTTTTGTGTCCAATGTGCATGGGCTATATATATAATGGCTTGTCTTTAACTTGCCATCATAAACACCTACACTGCATACAGATTTCATGCGCTGTAGGTCCTGTTTGCACTACAAAAGATTTTGATTGCTTGCAAAAAAGTCTGTCAACAGGAAGCCATTTCTAGTGCAAACAATTTTTTTCACCAACCAATTTTTTCTAGACTGTCACCAAACTACAAAGATGCTGTCAAGAACACGTGGAGGCCTGGCCTACAATTTTCTGTCAGGCGACAAAAATTATTTGTTCCTTGACAGCGATCCTTTCTTGGGCAGGGGCGGATCCAGGAAATTTTTATTGGGGCGGTTCAAAGTTTGGTTGAGAAACTGAATTGAACTTTTTTTGTGGCAAATTACTTCTCCCTCACAACCCTACACCTCCTCCCTCCATAGTCACTAAATAATATTTCTCAGGAAATGGAATAAAAGCATAAAACAACTTATCATCGGCTTCCATGGCTTCAGCTTCTTCAGCATTAACTATTTTATTTTCAATTACACTGGATTTGACTGGTTGATAGAAAGGGGTTATCGGCTGAGTTGTCGCCATAATTGTCAACCAGCTGAGAAAACAGAGACGGCCACCTGTTTCTCAATCTGTGAATGCCAGTTGCTGTTGAGATCACAGGAAAAAAGGCCATAGGAGGATACCCAAAGGTCATCTTATTTCGAGAACAAGACCAATTAAAGTTCCTTTAATTGACATTTCTGGTTATACAAAAACATTTTGCTTGTCTCAGATGTGAACAAGAATTAATGTGAAAACAAAAACATGGTTTTTACAAAATTTTCAATTTTTTTGCACACATCAAACGTTAATTTTTGCCGTAGTGCAAACAGAGCCTTAATTTTATTTGCCACTCAAAATCAGTTAGGATCGTGAATAGGGAAGTGATTGTCCTAGGTCAACATTCACCTCAAATGGTTGGTCAACAAACTGTAAACTTTTGTGAGGCCTGATGCAACTCTCCACCTAACTGAGCTAATTAAAACATTTGAATAAGAGCCCAGATGAAACAGATGTATTCTGGATGAGATCGTCTGACACAGCTGTATGACCAACCTACAGCTGTAAATTTGTACATGCAGGTATTTAAAAAGGACCAGAAAAAAAAAAATTCAAATTTTAGGCTTTAACAAATGTGCCCAATTTGAGGCCTCACCTTGGATTGGTTAGCTCATCTGGATATAGCACGGTGATTAATCATTGCACACCCTTGCAATCTGTAACTTGATGAAGACGTACAAGTAAAAGCAGTAAAAATTTAGACTTTCCATGGCTATTTTTACAAAATAATTTCCTCAAGGATACAATCAACATCAATGCACCAAACAGCACCACCATGGCCATTATAAGTCCCAAGTCTTTCTCCATTTAATGAGTACCAGACATTTGGTTTTGTATCCTTTGCAGCGGAAAACAGCAAGTCACCATCTCTGTTGTACTTGATTTGTGTAATGGAACGTTCATGTCCATGAAGCATAAGAGGCTTCTGCTCATGAAAATACCAAGAGAATATTTCCTTTAAAAGAGCACTTTAGGCATTTATTTGTAATAATTATTAGTATACTCCAACAGAAATCTTGCGAAAAAGCCTTTTAATATTCAACATTATTTGTAAACTTCCGTAATATTGAATAGTTTAATTTTCCACTTGATATTATTTTGTATCCGTCGCCGTAATTTTTATGCCGTCTTCAAAAAATTGTAATTGAGGAGGCCTAATTAACATAAGCTCTATAGTTTCCTTTAGGCCTCCTCGCCATTTTTTCCTTCATTTTTTTTTTGGCATTTCTTTGTAATTATTGTAATCGTGTGGCAAATAAATGAATACAAATACAAATCAGGGTGTTGTGATGTATTTTACAGTAATATTGTACCCACATCCATTCATACCCATTTGATCCTTTTAGAGCATATAAAATTGCATAATTTCCAGTGATTTTGTTACCTCTGCGTCCTGCGTTCTTGACGCATAAAATTCCCAAAGATGCAAAATAAATTCGAGATATGCACCCCCGTTCCTTTTTAAATATTGAAACTTTATTGAAGAACGTTTGACTTTTTTGGTATTCTAAGAATATCCCCAGTCGGCATAGTCCTGGGAAAGACATTTTACATGGTTTTACTGTGTCATTCATGTTTCCCAGTATTAACTGTGAATTTACCATTTTTAAATCACTTTAACAAGAAAGACTTTTGCTAATTCTGGGTTAATTGAAATATTTGTGTACTTTTCAAATTGCTTCACATGCATGCTAGAGGGAGATTTTTCTGATTCAATTGAAACTGGATGCGTTTTATTTGTCTTTCTACCGTACAAAATCGGGTCACTTGAGATCGATTGCTTCAATTGAGTTCTGAAATAATTATTGAACTCACCAAAAAGTTCCAGTTTGATTATGTTCAAGTACCGAACCAATCGAAGAACAATCTTACTGATTGTGTTTGATTGATTTTTGGTTCGGTTTCCTTCAATCAGTAACCCCAAGATAAGAAGAGTCGAGGAGAATAAACTTAAGGGAAAGGGAGTACAGCAGTTCACTTCACCGTGTACATGTACAACCGTCATTTTTCAGCAGCAGGGTTGAGTGGCAGTGTATTCTGAACCTATGACGTTTACTTGTAATCATGTTCAATAAATTAAAACATTTCATTTGCTTAAGAAACACAACGAATAAAAATAACAACTGGTATAGTTGTATTTCGTTTTGAGTCTGAGCCGCTTACTGCCATAAAAGGACGTGTAACTGCTATCTTGACTTTTAGTCTCACTGTAACACCATGAAAAAGCGCACAATGCTTGAAAAAGAAGATTTCGTTCGAAGAAGATTTCAATACACACAATGTACAAAGCACCGATGACCGGTGGGTTTGATGCTTCGTTCATTTTCAGCCTTAAGTCGAATAAAGAATCATCCACGTACTACAAATCTACTTTTATAAGATAAATCATAGTCCAGTAAGAGTTTTACTCACCATCGTTCGGCAATAAAATCCCTAAAAGCAACCAAATTTTACCTAGACCAAATCCTCGGACTTAAAAGTTCTAAAATAAGCACGTTGAACGTGACGTACTGGAGCCGTCAAACAAACCAGACAGCTGGTCAGCGGATTGAAATGGGGTATCTACTTCGTGTAATGTTAAGAGTGTATACCAAGACCTAAATAATATTCCAAAAAATCTCACTTTCAAAACGAGGCTAAGTGCGAAACCTTTGTTGTGAAAATGAGTTTTATTTGCATCATAATGAAGAATTATTTTGATATCAATGGCTTCGCACTTAGCCTCGCTTTGAAAGTGAGATTTTTTGGAACTCGGAAATGGCCTACACTCGACGCGCCAGTCCGGCTCCCTGAATATGCATTTAACATTATTTTGCGCGAATTTAACAGCTTCTGTCGTCATCAAAAGCTTGCTTGCAGAGACTGGTAACAGGCGGTTTTCACGTATATCAAACCCTGAGATTCAGTTTTACTAAGAGCTGCAAAAGTATGGTTTATCAGGGCAAAGTCCAGCGAGTGGACCGGAGGTGGTGGCGGGTAGCTGGAAAAAATCACCCCTTTACTCCATTTATCGCCCCCATCATTTTTCCCTCCTCCTTTTCCCCTAAATCGCGAGAGAACTTGGTCGCAAGCATGGAAATTATTAATTCTAAAGTAAAAGCGCGCGGAGAGGAGTGAAAGTGTGTCTCTTCACCATCAGTGCAGCCGGTTTTTGGATCTGCAACCGCCGTCATATATTACCGTCCTCACGTTGTGTTCTGGCTAAATCGCAGGAATATGTTTTCAGCGTTACTGGAAGGAGCACAACCATTTCCCCCATGCGCGTTGATATATCTACGTCTTTTCCGGACTCTCCACCTCGCGCGTTAATATTAAATAGTAATTAAAATTAAATAAAATAAAACAAAACAAAATTTAATTGCACCCTAAAGAAAACTGTAGACTATGAACAGTCTAGCAGCCACGAGATATGAGCAAAAGCGTAGAAAAAGTTTTTTTTTGCAGGTATTTCATTTTTTTGTATAATTACATTTTACATAAATGCAAATTCATAGGTGAAAGGCAAAAGACTATCACTAATTAAAACGGTCGACTTCTTTTGTTTGGTTACAAGGCAGAGCACAAGTCTGCCAATTAGTCAATTCATTTTGAGCGAACTGAAACGAGACGAAAATATAGCCAACGATGATATGCATAAGACTGATTAAACCACAGGCACCCCATACTCTATTTCGAGGTACTGTCGAACTCTAGAATTCGCCAAAATGGCTTCTAAACGACTCCAATAAAGAGAAAAACAGACAACAGAGAGTAAAACACAAAACATAAACACAAGGTTATCAAATTTTTTTTGCTGATATGATCTTTGTAAAAGGCGAATTCTAGAGTGAATTAGATTTATTGACGTACATCCTCTCACTAAGATATTCATGAGATCTTTAGATTCGACGACTATAAGGGCTTGACTTAATCTTTTTCCAAATTCTGAAATACTAGACACCTCGCAAAGCCTCATTTTACCTTTTTCCGCAGAAAAGTTCATATTGTTTTTTTCTTTGAAAAAGGTTAGGCTCCCTCCTGAGTGAAAATGATAAAACTGTTAACATTTGTTTCCGTCAATAAGACATTACGCTAAAACCCACAGTCGGAATGACGACGTCTATCACATTTCCCGCCAAATCATTAATGACGCTGGTTCATGCACGCGCCCATGGCCACTACCTAGTTCTGAGGAAATCCTCTCGTAGTCGTTCTCTTCCGTAGAATCTGTACGGGTCTCTATAAAATTTCAGCGAGTCTGGGTTCATCTGATTAAACGCTTGTCCAATGGTAGAATTTTAATTTTGTTTTAATTGTGTATTACTGTCAGGAGCTACCCCAGGGGGGGGGGGGGTACTCATGAGAATTCCTGTTGGGGGTGTGCTGTCCGGTTCTCCAATTCCTGACCCAATTTCAGACCAAAAATGTCATTTTCCACACCCGTTTTCAGACCTGGAGGACGTCGCAAAACCAACATACATGTTTGCAGAGACAGAAATTATATCATCATTACCGAGATTATGTGCCAACCAAAGATTTCTTAAAATTCACCGCGAATTCGGATATTATGGGTTTATTTCTTATTCCTTTGGAGCCAATCGACAAATATGTTCAAATACGCCACCCTTAGATGATGAAAAGATACAATGCCAGCCGGGTGGACGCCTCCTATCTCTGCATTTTCGTTGGACTGATCGTGAATTATAGTACACAGACGTTGTTTTCTTTTCTTCGACTAATCGACGAACACGCGAGCGCGGAGCGTATGAACTAAGGCGGGTATACGCGCGCTTGACGATCCCTAAAGTGAAAATAGAGGGTCTATGAACAGGTTAGACCAAATAAGAATTGCAGTTTTTTTTTAAACTACATAACGGTTACGACCGGCCGCCCGGGGCATATAATTATAATACTGACAAAACCCTTTTGGTCAGAAACTTCGTTTAGATTCCATTGCTGTCACTGGACTCCATGTTTTGGGGATTGGATTTCCTTGTAAAACATTTTTTGCAAACCATGATCAGGAAATCCAGGAACTCACACAATGTCAACAAACTGCAGCCAAGGAACAATCCCATGCTACCTCCCATGTCAGCTGAGAAGTAAGTAAAACAAAAAAAAATATTCAGTTAGTTACGAGTTGTATTAGGTAGTACAAATGTACGTATACTCATCCTCTGAGACCAAAGGGCGGTTAGTTGGGTCAGGAAAAAATGCGGCCAAAGTTTTCAAGAACGGGTGAGAGAGTCTCTGGGATACTACTCTTAACGAACCCGTTCCACGACTTATTCTAATGGTTGCCTGTGATTGTTTAGTGCCCAGTCAGAGGCCAGCATCTATCGCACTGCTTTCGTGATCTTCTTAATATACGAAGAGTTTACCTGCAAACTAGACTGTTTCCTCGACGCCCGTGAAAAATTGTCTCCCATCTTTTGGTCTGGCTCGTACAGGAGAGCTTTCTTGGATTCGAGAAGAGTTTTTCGGTGAAAATGAGCTTCCATATTTTACTCCACCTGTGTCATTGGATCCCCTTGTATATCACTGAGGAGAAACTCTAACAACATATTTACAAACTTTAAAGGGCGGAAAAATTTCTCCTGCACGTGCCTGACAAGTATGCCGGAAGGCGTAAATAACCATGCTGACGATTTTGCATGAACAAGCCAAGAAGTACTCTGGTGTTTACGAATTTACCTTCGATCAGTCCACAGGCTGATTTCTTTAACTGGTGCATTTTTCGTTCCTTTTGTTTTGTTTTGCTAACATGGTAAATTATGGGGTAAGATTTCCGTATAAATCCATACATTTATTATCTATGCATGGTTCCACTCTATTTATATCAACTATTCTCTATTTTCCAATTCCCCATAATACACTCTGTTTGCCCCCCAAATTTTGCATAAACCATTGTTTTTAAATGCTCCTGGGAGTATTGCA